GTAATGTTGCATTATCTGCTATTTATACTCTGAGATTATGTTGATTAGAAAGGGGTATACATCTTCCAGATGCTTTAGAACTAAGGGGATGGAGGAGAGTTTTGAGTGTTTTGTGTGTGGGGAGGGTACTGATGGAGGGGGAGATTATATTGAGAAATAATGAAACATGAAATAATTTTAATGTACTTTAAGTATATAAATTCATCTTGTTGGCAACTGGCCATGGGAGAATGGAAAAGGGAGCTGCCGTTGAGCTTGGACAATGGTATTATGGGGCCAGGTGTTTTATACTCATTCTCTGAAGTGATCACACAGCAACCCTGAGAGACTGTGTTATCATCTCTGTTTTCCAGGTCAGGAAACTGGGGCTCAAAGACTGTAAACAGTTTGTCCAAGATCATATATATGGTAGACTCCGATCTGAACCCAGGTCTAGCAGACTGTGATCTGGGATTTATTATAAACAGTTTGGCAGACCCAAAGATTTGAAGATCTAAACTCCAAGCAGAACTGAAAACTTTCAAATTCTCCCAAGAGTTTTCTAAAAGAATAGTTGAACAAAACGTTTCCACTTCGCCCTAGCTTCCTGTATCACTCAATGCCCGCTTTCCTCGCGGCCTCGAGGTTGGACAGCTCCCTTATTCAGAGATGGCTTCCTTTCCATAGACAGATCTCGACTTCGGAAGAATTGGCTTTTTTCCAGAACGGCGATGCCTCAGCCTGTGTGTGAGGAAGCGTGTGTGTGCAGGTTTATGTGTATGTGTGACTCTGTGTAAGTACTGTGGTGTATGTGTGCTTGTGCACCCGCGAGTGTGTGTGTTAAAAGTGTGTGTCTAAGTATATGCAACGATGTGTATGTCTGTGCGTCTATGTGAATGTGGTATGTGTGAGTGCCTTTGTGTATGTCTCAGGGTGTATCTTTGTTCATTTGTGGTTGTGTGTGTTTCTCTGTGTGTGTTAGGACGCATATGTGTGTTTGTGTCATGTGTGTCTGTGCGTATACTGTTAAGTAGGTGCGGATATGTGTGTATATCTGACTATGTGCATATGTGTTTATGTGAGTGTGGGTGCAGGTGTCTGCATGGCGAGCGAGTGTGTCAAGGCAAGCCTGCTTGTCTATACAGCTGCTCTGCCTGTGTTTAGGTCTGTGCTTTGAGCCATGTCACTCTGTAGGACTGAGAGAAGATTCTGGGCCTTGTGGATGGGGAGTGTATTGTACTGTGTGATCCAGCATCTCTCCGGATTCCTTGACTGTTCCACGGGCTTTGCTGTCTTTTCGTGACCAAGCTTCCTCTCCGCAGAGTCCCAGCAGAGAGCATCACCAAAGAACACTTGTGTGTGGATAAGATAAGAATTTTCATTTAAAATGAGATGACTCTTCATAATCAGGAACTGAGTTTATAGATTAAATTTTGTCTTAGTGACTCCAGGGGCCTGCTTAAATACCAGTTTTGAAGGTGGAATTTTGTGATGTCAAACACCGCATGAAAAGTACGTCGAATTTACTGGGGATTTGGAAATCTTCCGGCTCCTTGGAAATTTTGGTTACAACTTAATTTCTGGTACGAGACCTACATAATCTCTGTCCTGTTCAGGCTCTCTGAATTTAAAAATAATAATTTACTGTAGGTTTTAAAAAAGGCTCATGTTGTTGCTCCTGGAAAAATTTCTAGATAGCTGACATTTCACACTAATCAAAATAATTACATGGAGTGCTGTCACCTGAGGTGTGGGATCTGAGTTCACAAGTCTCCACCCCCTCACGGGCAGGGATGAATCTGAACTTGACAGATGCCATCAACAAGCTGGCACCTTGCAGCTGGGTGGAGGGGATCAGCAGGACAGGGGCTCCTACTTCCCACCCTCGGGGCATTCGGTGTCCGTCCCATACAACACATGCATCCTCTGTCCAAAGGATCTAAATCTATGTCTCAAACATTTCCATCTGCCCAATTGTTAAGAAGCAACAGAGGCCGGCGGCTCATCTACTCCCTTGTCACTTGACACAGAGCAGCTTTGAGACTACCTCTCTGCCTCCATTTCCCCTCCATAAAATGACAGGGTAGAGCCAGCCAGGTGAGGCATGTCCAGATCCCTCCCGCTCTCAGGTTGGGTTTAGCCAACCTTAAACATAGGCTCCTGGTTCAAATCCCCGTTACCCCATTGTGGGACTTGGGGCACTTTGCTTCACCTCTCCAAGACTCAGTTTTGTCATCTGTAAAATGGGGATAACAACACCTTCCTCACCAATTTGTACAGATTATTGACGTAATATACACCCAGGACCTGGCAGAGTTCACGACAGGCTCTTGCTGTCTGCTTTTACCATTACTGGTATATTATGGATCTCTTAAATCATTTCTAGGTTACTTTTGTTTTTAAAAATGCCACTCCCCTCTCAAAATCTACATTGGAATACAGCGTGAGATTTTTTTTTTGTTTGTGTTTTTGTTTTGTTTTTTAACTTAAAAATCACCTTGGTTTGGCCCTCACATTTTTGCCAAACTCGAGGACCCCAGTTTGGCCCCAGGGCCGCTGAGAACCCCCAGTTTGGGCAGCACAGATGGACTCAGCAGGGAGCATCCCTGCAAGCCGGAGGCTGAGATGGCTTGTCTGTCTGCTTTTAGTGTTGTTCCTAAACGTGATGTTGTCTCCGTTTCCAAGCCTCTAAAACTCCCCTGCCCGCCCTTCCCTGCATACATTAGCCTTAATGTATTCTCTCTTGAATACTCATCATATTAAGGCTCCCGGTAGATACCTAGCTCGAAATAAATTTTATGAGCACACATCCTCGCCCTCATCCCCATGCATTTGCGGCCGGCAGGAGAAATACAGCCGTATCTTTCCTGGAGGCAAGGCCAGACAACAATTAGGTGGGAATCGACGCCCTCTGGCCGCGGAGCCGGGCGGGGTGCGGGAGGGAGCCGGCGGGCGCACTCCCCGCGCCCAGAGGACGGTTCTCCGTCCGGGTTCTCCTAGGGTTCAATCGCGGGCACCGGCGGGCTACCCGGCCCTCGGACTCAGCCGTTCGCTCACACAAAGATGCCCCTAGCGGGCCGTGTCCCCGCGTCCCCGATGGCCCCGGGCGGCGGTGCTCAGCGGGCAGACGGTTGCACACGGTCTGGGACCTGGGACGGGCTGGTGGGCACGGGTTCCTGCCGATCTGCGAGCCACTTCCGTGCGCGAGGGCCTCGGTCTTCTCTCCCCTCGCGTGCAAAATGGTGCCAGAGCAGTGCTCCTCCACACACGACGCCTTCCTCCAGCCCCTGGCTTGGCGGCTGCAGCGGCTCCGAACGCCAACGCGCGGGCAGGAGAAACCGCGCCCGCGCGCTGCGTGAGCGCCTTTGCACGAGTCGTCCCCCCTCCCCCACCCCTCGCAGGCTGGCCTTGTCACACGGCGGGAGCCCCTGGTCATGCACCCCTCGCTCCTCAGTCTCCTCTCTGCTTATCCAGATGTCTCCACTGCTAAGGCCCCCCCTGCTCCTGGACTTCTTCCTGCTGCTCCAGGGACGCCAGTCCTGATGGTCCCGGAGAGAGGCAGGGGTGTCGTTGTAGTGGGAGGAGCACTACCTGTCTTGCGGACACAATCTGAGCCTCCACAGGAGCGTGGGGACATCTGTGCAGCGATTCTCGATCAATGAGATCAAGCGCATGAACGTGGGTCCCTAACTTTCCTTCCCCTCAGCCACAGCAGCACCACACACAACACACACTTACTGCAATTATCTCCTAGTAACAGCAAACCTTTATTGAGCACCTACTGGATACTGGCCCTGTCCTACAGTATTGATTCACTTCCTCTTCATAACAATCCTCCCAGGGACTTCTGTCATCATCACCCCCACCCCTCCTTGTTACGGATGAGAGAACCGGGCAGAGGGAGGCCAAGTAATTTGTGGAAGGTTAAAAAGCAGAGCCAGGGTTCAAACTCAGGCAGGCTGCTTCCAGAATCCATGGTCCCACCCTGTGTCCTACCCATCCCCCCTTATTTGATGGAGATTCCTGTTGCTGTCCTGTGTGCTTAGTACCTTGCTGGGGACATCAGAACTGTTTGGTAAGTAACTTGGTAGCTGGTTGGTTGAACATTTTCTTTGTCAAAGAGGAAAACTTCAGAGATAGAAAAAAAAATGCCATATGCCCTGGGACAGGTAGCAAATGTCCAGACCCATGCATCTCTGTCTCATTGTGGTTCCTGTAGTTTCCGTGGGGCATTTTGGTGTGAGAATGGGGTCAAAGGGCAAGGCATCTAGTGGGTCTGACTTTCAGGCAAATGTTGGTAGCTGCTGAGGCCAGAAAGGGGAACAGACTGGGTTTGGGGGTTACTGTGCCCAACACTGACGTTTGTGTGTCTGACACGGTGATGTCGTTTAGTGAGTGTCCCCATAGCCTGTCTACAGGTTTGAGACACAAATGATTTAGAACTGGAGAGAGCTTTCTTTCTACATAGATGTGTTCAAACTTTGTCCCCTGTGCTTTGAGGCCAGTTCCCTTACATTAATACTTTTAAATTATATCACACCGACAAAGATGATATGAATCAAGAATGTAGGATTCCGGAGAGATTTGGTTTGTTGATATTTTGGAGTGCACGGGAGAAGCAGGTGAACTGTTTCGAAGTGAGCTTCTTAGAGAGGATTTGATCCAATATTTATGTAGTGATACATATCTGTGGAGCTACTCGTGTGCACCAGGCACTGTGCTAGGCGGCTGGGATACATAGCCGCAAAAGAAACATTATTCTGGCCCCGGGAGGCTCTCCCCTCCTAATAGGAAACACTGGGTGCATTGGATTTCAGTTCCCACGTGCCTCGTTGACCAGTGACCTTTGTGCAGTGCACAGCCTGCACAATTATACGTGGCAGCCCTAAGGGTCTGGGTTCTGTCCTTTCCCTCCAGTGGGACACGAATCGTGAAGAACAAGAAGGCATCCACACAGGGTCTGGTCCGGTTAGCCGTGCTGTGTGGAAGGCTCACTCTGCCTTTCTCTCCTCTCCCCACAGAGATCCCTCAGTGTGCCGGCTGCAACCAGCATATCCTGGACAAGTTCATCCTGAAGGTCCTGGACAGACACTGGCACAGCTCTTGCCTCAAGTGTGCAGACTGCCAGATGCAGCTGGCGGACAGGTGCTTCTCCAGGGCCGGGAGCGTCTACTGCAAGGAAGACTTCTTCAAGTAAGCCAGAACCCAGGGTGCAGCCTCCCTCCCATGCCCTGGTCTGTATCAGCCTCTCCCCGCTGGGGGTGGGGGAGAGAGCTGGCAGAGGGCTGGAGCCAAACTTCTGCAGGGGGGCCGACAAAGGATTCCGGCGAATCCTGAAGGGAATGCTCCTTCTTGGTGTTGGTTTCTTGGGCCACGTGGCTCTATCATTCCCGCCACTTTCAGGGTGGCTGCTTTGAGTTTTGCACCTCGAATCTGGAGGAGTCTTCGTGGCTGCTTCGGGGCCCCAGAGGCTTGGAAGAGTTGCTCCTGGTCGGGGTCAAGCCAGGCTCTGTTAGTGTCATCGCTTTCAATGAAAACATGATGAAGAGGCAGTTTGATGTGACGGTTAAGAGCCCAGACCCTTGACTGGGTTTGAATCCCTTATTAGCTGTGTGCTCTTGGGCAACTTAACCTAACTTCTCTCTGACTCTGGTTGCTTATCTATAAAATGCGGCTGCTAATCATAGTTCTTACCTCACTGCATTGTTATTAGCTTTGAATGGATCAATATATGTAAAGTCCGTAGGACAGTACCTGACACCTGAGTGTTAGCTTTTAAGACTGTCCTCAATTCCTTCTGGGGTTGGATCCATCAGAAAAAGTCCTGCTGGTCATGGAGAGGGGACCTTCTAGAATTTATCTTCTGTGGCATTTCGTCTGGGGCTTCTCTCCCGGAACCCGTTGCCCGGGGCACTCAGGCTGGTGCCTCAGCTCACCTGGACCAGCTGGTGACAGCAAGACCAACAACAAGAGAAGGGAGGTGTCCATCGGTGACGCGGAGCCCAGGGTGGGTGGCCCACGGGGGTGCGCTGAGGGGGCGGGACTTCTGGGGAGGCTCGTCAAAGCCTGGAAACACTTGGCACAAATGAGCAAGCCTCAGAGGGGCGGCATGCCTCCTTCAGAGGTCATGTATTCTGCACAAAGGGAGGGGACATGGGGACAAATGCCAGTCCTGGATCCAGGACATGTTTCTCCCAAATCCTGCCAAGGTTGAACTTCAGAGAACAGGTGATTTGAATTTCTGAGGATCCTCAAATTTCATTAGCCCAATACGAGTTGAAAAGCACATTAAAGGTGATCTTGGTTTCCACTGGGGCTTCCTCCAAGGCTTGTGCTCAGAAGGCAACACTCATTGTCGCCGTCACACTTGGGTCAAAAATGCACTGCTCTCTCCCTTGGTGTGCGTGTGAGCATGCTCACTCACACGTGCCTGTGTGTTCATGCCTGTGCCCGTATGCTGCCTGAGGGCAGGGGCAGTAGGCGCGCAGGCACATCCAACAGATTCCTGATGGCTCCGACTCAGGGCCGGGCCTCTGGCTCTCCCTCTAGGTCTTTTCCGTGCTCTCCGTCCTCCCGGTCTTCCTCTTGCTCTCTCACCTCTGAACCTTGCCTTGCTTCCTTCATTCTGGCATTTACACAGTTCTGCTCCCTCCTCCTACATCCTTCCCCGTGGGCAACCAGAGTCATTCGTTATTCATTTCTCAGTGACATCCGGGCCAAGCCCCACGGCAGCTCTTGTAGGCCCCGCACGGAGTGAACCTCATCACGTGTGTGTTCGTGTGCGTGAACGTTGTGTGCCTGTGTGCACCTGTGAAGGTGAATGTGTGAGCAAGGAGGGGCAAGAGGACACAGTAGGCGGGGCCTGGCCTTGGGGTCGGGTCAACTGTCCCCGCTTCCAAGTTCTGTGCACCATCTTCCTGGTTGTCCATGTACCTTTGGGAAGCCTCAGTGAGCTCCCGGGGCATGGCCTTTTTTTTTTTTTTTAATGTTTATTTAACTTCGAGAGAGAATGACAGTGTGAGGGGAGGAGGGGCAGAGAGAGAGGGAGACACAGAATCCGAAGCAGGCTCCAAGCTGTCAGCACGGAGCCTGACGCGGGGCTCGAACTCACAAACTGCGAGTTCATGACCTGAGCGGAAGTCCGACGCTTAACCGACTGAGCCACCCAGGCGCCCCAGGGGCATGGCCTTCTTGCCCAGCTGGGACAGGGTAGGTGCTGAGATGTCCCCGAGTTAGACCACTGGCTGGGGTGCAGGCAAAACCCATTAGGATCACATCACAGGACTCTGTCACCAGAGAAGCTCCTTTGAGCGCCTGTCTGGGGTTTGGAACTTGACCTTGACTGACTGGCTCTGAGTGTTTGGGAAAGGGAAGTGGTCACAGCTCAGGTGTAGGTTCGGGCTTGGGAGAAGTAGTGATGACGAAAGATGGTCCCTTCAGAAGGGACCTGGGGTGCAGGCTGGGGGAGGAGTAGCATAGGCCTATGAGTCATAAGCCCAAGACCAGAAATAACAATGACAGTTACTTGCTCAGGCCAGGCCACTGACCTCTTGCCTCTGTGGCTTCCCCATGCCATGACCCTCATTTGGATCCTTCCAGGGCATTATTCATAAGTCATAACTCACCTCCCACTTCCTTGAGGCCACATGTCCCCCCACCACACCGGCATCCAACCTCACCACTGACCCCGGCCCCCAGCTCCTTCAGCAAGGCCCCCTCTGCCTACAGAACATTCCAGATGCATTGTGCTATCAGAGCCTTCCACCCTGCCTCTCTTCTAGTCCTACCTCACTGCTTCCTTGGGTTCCCAATGCCCCCCAGCAGGGTGCCCCCTTTCCCAGGCAGGCCTTGACCCTGGCTATTGTATCCTCCAGGGATGATGTCTGTCCTCTGAAGGTCTCCCCCATTCTTCCATGGCCGTGAGTCCAGCTCTTCAGCGGATGGGCACCCTGAGTTGCCTTGTTTTTGCTCACTCCTCCCGCGCCTGTTTGATCTTTCTTGTTGGCATGAGGAAAGACTTATTAGGTATTATTTTTCTGTCCCCGGCATATGCACCTGGCCTTGTCTACAGACCATCACTGGGTTTGATCACATAGTGAATTTACAGCATGCTTGGTGACCAGTTTCTTCTGTCCCTCACATGACGTCCTGTGAATCCTGGAGGCCCAGGCTGCCTGAGAAATGCATAGGCCCATAATTCAGTCGCAGTTACTTTCCTGGTTCCATAGGACTGCCCTGTTTCATAAAATGACCCACCCTCAGGGCTGGATCCTCTTGTGAAGTAGGGGAACAGGCCACAGATTCAGTGCTGAATCCAGGTCATTAATTCTGAGATGAAGTGCTGTGTGGAGAGAAATTTATTTTTGTTTTTAAGTTTTATTTATTTGGGGTGCCTGGGTGGCCCAGTCGGTTAAGCATCCAACTTCGGCTCAGGTCGTGATCTCACAGTTGGTGAGTTCAGGCCCCGCGTCGGGCTCTGTGCTGACAGCTTGGAGTCTGGAGCCTGCTTTGGATTCTGTGTCTCCCTCTCGCTCTTCCCCCTCCCCTGCTGACACAATGTCTCTCTCTTTCTCAAAAATAAATAAACGTTAAAAAAAAATTTTTTTTAAGTTTTATTTATTTATTTTGAGAAAGAGAGCGCACGTGAGTGGGGGGAGGTGTAGAGAGAGAGAGGGAGAGCAAGAGAATCCCAAGCAGGCTCCATGCTGTCAGTGCAGAGCCCCACACAGGGCTCAATCCTACCAACTGTGAGATCATGACCTGGGCTGAAATCAAGAGTCAGATGCTTAACCAACTGAGCCACCCAGGCGCCCTGTGTGGAGAGAAGTTAAAAGCGGAGGTGATTCTCCCCGCTGATAATGGAGATTGAAGATTGGGCCACTCTGAAGCCGCCCAGGGAAGACACTTGGATTCACGGGCAGTCAGGCCCCACACGGCTCTTGGGGACTGTGGCTGTTCGGTGCAGGAAGACACAGCCACAGGTGCAATTTGGTATAGCAAGTCACAGTGCGAGGCGAGGACACTGAGGGAGTCAGTCCTCCAGGGTCAGACTGGCTTCACCCCTCTCCCACCCCCCTGCCGGGGTCTTGGGATCCACTGCCCACTTGGGGCTCAGGCTGTAACCTGGCTGCAGAGCCCATGGTCCCCTCCTCATTATGGTTCATTAAACATCACCAGGCACCTGCTTTCAGATGGCGCACAGGATACCTGTGAGCAGAGAGAGAATACGAGGCAGGGCGGGAGGGGCAGAGCAGTTCCCGGAGCCCCAGGCCCCTTCCTGTCCTGCAGGAGGCTGCCAGAGTCACTTCCGGCAGCCTTGTGAGAGGGAAGGTCGGCGCCATGAGCTTGAATTCACCTGTCAGACTTCAGGATGCTCTCAGCTGCGGGATTTGGAAGAGGCCTGGTCAGAGCCAGGGAGACTCTCTGCTCTACGCTCCTTGAAGAAAAAGAAAAAGGAAAGAAAAATCACTGCCCTTTTCAGATACCTGCCCCATAGCCCTGCTCGGAGGGGCATTGACCTCACTGATCAGCATTGTGGTTCTAATTTTCAGGATCAATATTTTAAATCTCTTTGCCCATAACAAGGGGAAGGGCCACTGCTTTGCGTAACTCCAAGGGGTATCCTTTATCCTGCGTGAAGGTTTTCGAATCAAGACTGTCATGTGAAGAGTACCCTGCCGCAGGTATGTGATACCTCAGAAGTGGGGTGAGGTCAGCCTTCCATCAGCCTTCAGCCCACGAGATGTGATAATACTGGTGGCTGACAGCAGAGGGCGATGTTGATGTGTGCACAGACCAAGAAAGAAGTATTGTTGGAAGGTTGTACCCTGTGGTTGTTGCATTTTTCTCTTGGAGCTGTTGAATTCTGTCTTGCTCGGTAACATTGGCTGATCTTTACTGTTGTTTGTTGTTTTTGCCTCCTGGGTCCTTGGCTGCCTTTCTCCACAGGAAATAAAAGTCTGAGACCGAGAGGAGAGGCACGGAGTTGACTAAACGCAGTGGTTCCGAGGCTATCGCAAATGGATCACAAGCTGAGGAGCCAACGGCTCTTTCTGTTGTATTTGCTAAGCGAGTCCTTTCTGGGCTGCGTGTCCCGTACGTCCCAGGTCCCCATCTCCTGGCAAAGAGACCAGGGCCTGGTGAGGGCAGGAGTCTGGGAGTAGAGCTTCTGGGTCCCCTCCTCATCACTGACT